GGTGATACCTGCCAGGTCCGCTCCCCCCTCTTGAATAAGCTCTTGAATGAGGGGGGCCTTATTTACAACGGACCTGGCATTGCATAACACCAGCCGATGATCCCGGGTCCGAGGATCTAAAGTCCCTGGAGGTCGAGTAGAGCCCTGAGGATCGGAGCATCCACAAGCTTGTAAGCAGCGTGTGCGTGCTCCCAAAACCTGATATGGTCCTCTGCTCCCGCCATATCTGCCCCTCAGAAAGAAAAAATACTCAGCAATATATTGATAAAATCACATTTAACCTAAATTTATTTCACTGTGTTGTTTCAAGAATAAAGAAAGGTAGCATCTTACAAATTAACTGAACTCTGTGGAGAAGGGATGAGATGCAAATGTGCTAAATAAATCACCATCACAAAATAAATGAGATTATTATCACATTCTACTATGAAATAGCTATGAACAGAAGAGATTTTAATGCTTTTTTAAAGAAGGAATTGTGCCTTCCTTCAACATTCACTTTTCTCTCCCTCTACCCTTTCAGACGTACCTTCCTCAACCTCCATTTTGCCCTGATCCTGTATATAAGCTAATGCTCAACTGTTGGAGACGAGATACCAAAACTCGCCCTTCCTTTCAAGAAATCCATTGCTTTCTTCAAGAAGCAACTACTTCATAGTGATGCCTTCAAATGCTATGGACCACCTCTTCCCCTTGCCATGTTACCCTTTCCAAGTTATACCCAGAACTGAAGCCACTTCACCTGGAGCCATCATTTCCTTTAATAACACAGCTGGACTCAAATCAACCATCAAAGGACACATGAGAGAGAAATGGGGATCTGACCAGGTCTGCCACATAACCTTATTCACGATGCTGTGTTTTGGACTGGTAAAGACTGAAAAAGTTATTTATCTTGTAAATGTTCTAGGTTGTGTTTTGTTTAATGGAGTTTGTCCATGAAAGAGATGAAAACGTATTCTTTTTTCCCTAAAAAAGGATATGAAAAAAAGCTTGAAAATGGAATTGAGCTGGAAATAGGCACATGAATTAGGAAAGTACTGAAGCAATTAGTACCGTAATGTTTTATGCCACTGCTGTGTGCAAGAGCTGTAATTCTGTAAGAGGCGGTAAAAGAGCAGAATGTCATAGTGGACATAGATTGTGGCTTGGACAATGCTTGCTGAAATCTCTAAAGCCAAAGAAGGTATGAAATAGATTTTCTGTGATTTAGGACAGAATTTGTTAATACAGAATGGGTTGGGTAAACTTAAAGAAAGTATGCAATTTTGTATCATTTAAACACTATGCAGAGTTTGCAAAATGTAATTAATTTGGGGTGGAACCTAGATGGCTCTGAGCAGAATCTTTGTGTGTTACAAAAATCTGGATGTTATAGAACAGGGCTTTTCAATCTTTTCACCAATTGTACCACTTTTAGGATATGGCAATATTCAAGTACCACCTAGCAAGGTGTCAAAAACTTGATGACAAAAAAAAAACTGTTCAAAGTTACAATTGCACTGAAATGACTTATGACCATTTTTCACACTTATGACCATTGCAGCATGCCCAGGGTCATGTGATTTATATTTGGATGCTTGGCAACTAATTCATATTTATGATGGTCACAGTGTTCCAGGGTCATGTGATCCCTTTTTGCAACCTTTTGACAAGCAAAGTCAATGGCAGGGCTGCTGGTGGCCAAGTGCTAAGGCGGGACTTCCTTCCCTCCCTCCCTCCTTCCCTGCCTCCCTCTCTCCTTCCCTGCCTCCCTCTTTCTTTTTTTTAATATAAAATTTTATTGTTTTCATCATAAAAGAAAAAGAAATACATCACAGATATTACACAATGTTATATCCCATCCCCCCACCCCCCGGACTTCCCAAACCAAACCTAGGCTAATATTCAAATACAAGTAAACAAATATTAATATCTCTAACTCCTCTAAACTTAAACAATCCATCTCCTCCGTATTAATAAAAATTA